CGTATATTCTGTGAATGGGCACATATTCTACGAGTGTGCGTATATTCTGTGAATGGGCACATATTCTACGAGTGTGCGTATATTCTGTGAATGGGCACATATTCTACGAGTGTGCGTATATTCTGTGAATGGGAACATATTCTACGAGTGTGCGTATATTCTGTGAATGGGCACATATTCTACGAGTGTGCGTATATTCTGTGAATGGGCACATATTCTACGAGTGTGCGTATATTCTGTGAATGGGAACATATTCTATGATTTTGTACATATTCTATTTTTTTTTTTTTTTTTTTCACAATGCCTTAGCTGATTTTTTAGTGATCTTCAGGTCTGTTTTGAAGAACAATTTTTATAAAATCATTTTGGAAAATTTTTTTTTTTGATTTTGTTTTTTTTTTTTTTTTTTTTTTTTTTTTTTGCACAATGCCTTAGCTGATTTTGTAGTGATCTTCAGGTCTGTTTTGAAGAACAATTGTTATAAAATCAGTTTGGAAAATGTATCGTATCACCATGTGCACTACATCAACCTACATCACCATGCATGACCACTATATCACCCTACATCACCAATATATCATTATACATCACCATGCATCACCAGTATATCACCGTACATCAACATACTACATCACCACTGTATCACCACTACATCACGATACATCACCTCTACATCACCATAATAACGATACATAACCATGCATCACCACAAATCAACATACATCACCATTCAGCCATATACCAACTGTTCAAACAAATCTCTCTGGTAACTGTTGTTTTAACGTAATATCTGTTTCTAACCCCCAACCAGCGACCGATTGTTCCCATCCCAATCAATTCAAATGCAGAGGGGGATTTTGTATCTCGCGTGACTTTGTCTGCGACGGAGAAAACGATTGCGGAGACAGTTCTGATGAGTACCAATGCCGTGAGTATTTTATCGCTCGCCTTCCTAGTTTCACTTTGACCCTGACACCACTTCCTACGAAGTGTATTCCATGGAACAATGCAAGATATTTACCCCACTTACAGAAGTGATTAAAACCTGAAGGTAGAAGTAATGTTACGAATGGACAAAGATATCCTATAGTCTTATCCACAGGGTGACGCAAAGAGATGGATACATGGGATATCTTAAATGACATGTCTTTGCTACATTGTAGATTCATTTCTGCTCTAGAAAACTTCGTCTGCTCAGAGGGGGAGATCCACTGCGACAACTATATTTGCATCGAATCCTCGTGGAGATGTGATGGAGAGAACGACTGCGGCACCAACTGGGACGAGCAGGGGTGCATCGGTTAAAGAGCTCCACCTGGTTGTGGATACAACGGATTAGAAGAAGCTGGGAACAGTCAAATCTTACAACAGCCAATGGTCTCATTTGATCTTTTCTTTTTGTTTGGCAAACCTAAGGGGGAAGGGAGGGGATGGGTGTAAAGTAACTGGTTTGAAAAGAGTTCATTGTCCTGTCTTGGGATCTTTATTTCCTGATTTATCATCCTGAAACAAAGAACAATGAATCTAATGGTCATTAAATATAAATATTTATTCATGACTGCTTGTTTGTTTGTTTTTTAGTAAAAGTATACATTAAATTAATACTTTCATAAATAAATACAATTAAATACATTGCGGAAATTTCATTCAACCGTGTGAAGAGAAATATTGAGAGGTGAGGAAAGTTTGCACAACGCAACGAATCAAGTAACAGACGTTCGATGCTGAAATGAAATTAGTTTAAAATTCAGGACAACGACCATTAAATTTCTTTCTACATTTCAAGCACCACCATAAGTGGTCGTTTAATGGAATATCTCCAATTATTAAAAATTAATCTTTGAAGATGCAAAGCTAAGCGATAATTTCAAAGACACTTTCATGAAGGTGTTTTTCTATTCTTTTTTTTTGTTTCACCAAACATTGTCATGTAAGGGCCCAGAGAGGTCATCAACATTTGAAGGTCCAGAGAGGTCATCAACATTTGAAAGTCCATGGAGGTCATCAACATTTGAAGGTCCAGAGAGGTCATCAACATTTGAAGGTCCAGAGAGGTCATCGTCAGAAAAAAGGTTAAGACAGGTCATCGAGGGGTAAATGTTTAGAGGTCTTTCGACGGGTAAAGGTCCCGAGGGGCAAAAGATGAATGGAAATTACATTTTTGGAATTGACGCATTGTGGGTACATGTAATTAAGGCATCGTGGATACATTTTGTGGATGCATTGTGGATTCATTTTGTTTGAGGTCGTGAAAAAGAGGAGACAACTTATCTTTTAACATTTATCCATTTTCACTAATACATTAATTTTAAAATTTAACATTGATTGTTCTACCTTGAGCTAAAATATCCTAAGCTCATAGTTGTATGGTTCGTTTTTATAGATAAATTACTTGACATCTCATCATAGCGAGGGCACATCTCATTATAGTGTGGATACATCTCATTAAAGTGTGGACACTTCTCATTATAGTGAAGACACATCTCATTACAGTGTGGGCACGTCTCATTATAGTGTAGGCACGTGTCATTATAGTGTAGGCACATCTCATGATAGGGCAGGCAATCTAATTATAGTGTAGGCACATCTCATTATAGTGTAGGCACATTGCCCTTGGAATTAGAAGTAACCTTTCAGTTCTACGTTGTTGTTTTTGTACCACAAATAAACAGTAACACATTTAACACAGTAACATCTACATAACCGAGGCAATATTTTAATGAGTCGAGCATGTAGTATAAACCGACCATTCACGACTATGAACTGTAACATTTCTTGATCAAGCATTTGTGAAGTTACGTCTAACGAGTGGATGAGTTAAAATATAGGATTTAGATCAAGACTTTTTGTCTTTAACTAATTAAAAGTACTAGGGCGTAAAGAAAATGAAAATAAAATAATTAGCTTCATCTACAGATTTTAATGATTTTATGTAAAAAAAAAAACAACCCACATTGATTTGCTTCAAATATCTTCTTTTTTTTTAAATATGGAAGTAAGTAAGTATGGGGGACTTCTTCTTCTTCTTCTATATATTAAGGGCCCACTTAATGTTATTTACTACAATTTTTATAGACAAGTTACTTCCCTTAATAAATCTCCTGGATTTGACACGAACAAAATGAACTTATTCGCTTATCTAATATGGCTTATCTCATATGACTTATCTCTTATTGGCTTATCACATATGCTTATTTTTATAATAATATGTATTTTTTTATTTTTGTTTATAAATGGTAAAAAAAATTAAAATCCCGCGAGGCCCTCTGGAGGCATTAGGCTCCCTAGAGGGCTGCCTATGCCTGAAGGCGACACTGGACTAGAGATGTTGAAAAAACAAGTAACTACGGACAAGACAACCAGAATTAACTAGTGTTACGTCACCTACAGCATTCTTATTATAAAGGCATCACCAAGGATCTTTTTAGAGATAAGCTAAGGATTAAAAAAAAAACCACACACACACAATAATAATTACTTTACAGATGTACATGAAGTCTTCTTTGACATGAGTTGGTCGCGATTGAATATGGCAGTCATATTGTCACGTGATCAATAAATGACTGATAAGATGATTAACCCAGTGGTTCTCATCTTGTTAGAATCTAAATTACATCATATTATCGTTATGGAGGCATGGCTACTTCCGAATACATGTCACGTTTGTCGCAAAATTTCAAATGTTAAATTTAAAAAAAATAGCTTTGTTTTTTAAATTCTATAGTTACTGTAGGGGGAGGGGAGGGGGTGAAGTTAAGGGTCATTCAGTTAAACAGGCTCCTATAATGTCATCCATATTATCTAATCTAAAAAAAATAATAATTTGCGTGGATGCCACACTCTCTGCAACAGCTTACATTTGTAATAAATGATCATGAATTCGTTTGAGCGTGTCGCTCGATAAAAGGCTGGGATAATATGACCTTATTCAAAAAAATATTCGATAATATAATATAAAGATTTAGTACGAGAGGCAGACCTTGCAGCCATTGTCTCCACAAACACATCATTCAATCGTTATAGATTCTAAGACATTGTCTAATTTGAGAACCACTGGAGTTTTTACTATCTAAGGTCGTCGGGAGAGATGAGTTTAAAATGGAGCACATGTTTATTGAAAAGGAAAGACACAGTTTGTTTACTAAACATAATCCAGAGAAGGGTATCATTAGCCACGAAGAATTGAATTCTTTAATGGCACTGTCGCCCAATGATAGTTCACATTGACATCTCTCTTTCTGCGCCCCCCCCCCAAACAATTCTTTCCCATTACACATGTACCGACCATCCAGGCCTTGAAAACTACACCCAAGACACATCTCTTTAAACTCTACTATCCAGACTGATTCCCCCCTCTGACCGCTAAACGATGCTGCTGGGTGCCGTCCATGGCTTGACATGTGATTAGTTCTGGAATGGGTGGGGTGAATATACATTTGGTTTTTTTTGTTTTTTTCTTTTCTTTTTATGTAGCTATTTTTAATTTAATAAAAGGATGTAGTTTAATGTCATGATAATGTTTGCTAATATTTTTATGAGCAGCCACAAACACTAAGTCTCTCAAACCACGAACACTAAGTATCTCAAACCCCAAACACTAAGTCTCTCAAGCCACAAACACTAAGTATCTCAAACCACGAACACTAAGTCTCTCAAACCACAAAACACTAAGTCTCTCAAACCACAAACACTAAGTATCTCAAGCCACAAACACTAAGTATCTCAAACCACGAACACTAAGTCTCTCAAACCACAAAACACTAAGTCTCTCAAACCACAAACACCAATTCTCTCAAACTACAAACACTAAGTCTCTCAAACCAAAACCAAGTCTCTCAAACCACAAACACCAAGTCTCTCAAACCACAAACACTAAGTCCGCCCATTCGTTCACTAGCGTTGTCAATGCGAGTCCCCTTCGTCACACGGTGTGTCTGTATTCCCTGTGTAACAGTACTCTATTGAGCACAGTTGATTTACTTCTTCTAGTAAAATGTTTACACACACCGCTGTCCTACTAAAATGCTTATTTTCGTCAGCCCCTATCAATAAGATCACGATTGTTGGAGGAAGTCTGGAATGAAAGGATTTTAAAAAGGAAAATCCTATAAAAAGCTGGACTGGCTTGTAATCACAACAAAAACAATTGGCCACACTGGAAGATTCTGTCGCAGTAGCTGCACCTTGAGGCAGGATGATGAAACTGTTGCTGTTGTGCCTGGTGGTAGTCACCGTTGTGGCTGTCAGCAAGAGATCTGAGAAGCGAGTTCCCCGAAACCTAGTCAGACGTGGTAAAACTTAATTTGTGATGGAACAGCGTTGACTTCAGTATAATGATTGCTTTTATTTCGCACCAGATTTAAGTGAAATCAAGTGAAATGTCTAATCTCTAAAATGGGCATGAATATTTCATAGAACGAAAAAAGTAATGAATTTAAATTAAGCCGGTCTAACCTATAACAACCACATGCTATTATTATTGTTGCTATAAAAAAACTTATGCTACTGTAGCGGTTACACATTTATATTATTTTATACCTCACAAGGTTTTAAACATATATAAATTTTAGTTCTTTGTTTATTTAAATTTTTATCAACTTATTTTCAAAATGTCGTTCTGAAGCTTTATAATTGGTGGAAGTTAAAATGTCGTTGAAATAAAGTTGACTTTTTCGAATCCTACCTGGCAGTCACGTGTAGCAACAAAGAGTTTCAGTGTAAGCTACCTGGCAATTGTGTACCTGGCGACTTCCGGTGTGACACGGAGAAAGACTGTGACGACGGATCTGATGAAGCGGGATGTCGTGAGTACTGTTCACGTCACGTGCTCACCCGTGGTCTCAACCCAAGTCCAACATTCCCCTTGGCTCTACTCACATACCCAACGGCTCTACCCACATATTTCCTGGCACTACCCACACATTTCCTGGCACTGCACACATACATCCTAGCACTACCCACTTACATCCTGGCACTACCCACATACAGGACCAGGGATGGGAGGATGCTAGACGTTGAACATATTACATGTTGCATGGTCATTGATGTTACATGCCCACGGTTGCATGGTCATTGATGTTACATGCCCACGGTTGATCTGATCTGTATACGTGTAGTAGACTGACCGGGCCCTACCTACTGGTCACAACGGGACACATTATTCACGTCATCCTATCTACTATTATAAAGAATAAGCGTGGGGCCCTGAAAGGCGTGTGTTCATGGCAGCCCCCCCCCCGTTCGCCAACACATGATACCGGCCCTGCCATGGCACCATCCCCATATTTTCTGACAGTGCTAACACCCCTCTGGCCCTGACGCTAGCCTTCCAACACTCTGATACTACCCACTACCCACGTACCCGTCACAATACCATTCTACTCCTAGCACTCACTCTGACACTAGCCACTACCCCCGTACCCGTCACAATACCATTCTACTCCTGGCACCATCTTCCTACCCCACGGCTCCAGCTACCACAGCCTCGGAGCCGTTTTGAGGGAGGGGCATGTTTGATAAATGATATCTCTTAAGAAAATATGAAGGCACATCAGACTGCGGTGGATTATGTCAATGTCACTAGACATTTGTTCCTGTCATTATACATGTGTTTCCTGTCATTATACATTGGTTTCTTCAAATATCCACACAAGATTCCAGCGAACTTCCCCCCCCCCGATGTTTTCTATTTTTATCTGGGGGGTTTTTTTGGAAGGAGGGGGGGGGGTCTAATTATTGCGTTGGCGACGGAGGAAGTCGTTCAACCAAAACATTGCTGTATTATGTTGTAAATGTAACTCAGGCTGCATATGAATGCCTGTATACAGCTCTGCAACTGATCTCACTGTATTTCCTTGCCACAGCCACCGACTGCTCTCACCCCAACCAGTTTAAATGTAAGAATGGCCAGTGTGCGTCCAGGGACTTTGTCTGCGACGGCACCAACGACTGTGGTGACCTGACAGACGAACAGGATTGTGGTACGTCTTTTAAAGTCCCCCGTTTAAAACAAAAAGAAGTACCATTGCTTTAGAATTAATGATGTGTTCGTTTAGAGAAAAAAACAAACAAACTGTATTTATGTTTGAATAAGATATATTGTCAAAATGACTTGAGCGTATGTCTGGTATTGAGATAGCCACATCTGTGGTGCAGGGGGCCTCCGCGCTGGTCATTGTCATCAAAAAGTCTGTGTCACTCTTTAACGCTTTGTCTCTCTCTGTTCCTAAAAGCAGCCCTGGCATTATTTGAAATAACGTATATATTTCATCCACTCACTGGGTCTAAAAATATTCTATAGAGCACACATTTTCTTTCGTTCATGCATTCAGTCAAATTGAAGAAGTTTAAAGTAAAAATTTGACCATCCGTGCACGGGTAAATGACTTTATCTAACTATTAAAAATATTACCTCACCAATCCACCATATTTCAATGCCTCTGACTGACAACCATACATATTACCTCAACCAGTCCTCCATATTTCAATGACTATATCTGACCACCATACGAATTACCTCAACATTCCTCCACATATTTTAATGTCTCTGTCTGACCGCCACACATATCACCCCACCCTTCCTCCATATTTCAATGACTCTGTCTCACCACATATTATTACCTCACATGACATTTCACAGAACACTTCGCTTGCCCCGATGGTGAGCTCAAGTGTAGCAACTTCCTGTGCATAGAGTCCTACTGGAAATGTGATGGCTACAACGATTGTGGCAATGGCTGGGACGAGCAGGGCTGTCATACAAAATAGTGCTCTGCGATTGGTGTAAATTGGTGACTTAGATTGTGATCGAATGAAATTGTTCTTGAAATGTGATTGGTTGAAATATAACTTGAAATGGGACTGTTCATATTTGACTTGTATTAAAATGGAATGGAATGTTAATTACACTCTTATCACACGGTTATGCAACAATGTGTGATAGTCATGTGGAATATTTAAACATTAAAAAAATGTTTTTATTCACAACTTTTGTTCAATATTTTTTTGTAATTTATGATGTTTACCACAACTCACTAGTTAAATTAAATAAATATCATTTATCACTTTATTGCATCCATTTATTTGTTACATCCCCCCATCCAACAGTTACAAACAGCAAACAGTTACAAACAGCAAACAGTTACATCATCAAACACTTACCCCCATCAAACAGTTACCAACGTCAAACAGTATTTTAATGCATTTAATTTCTCTGGGTAAAATTTTATTTTTGCCGAATAAAATGATGCTGAAGTCACATAAAAATGACTTATTTAAAATTCATCGACATTTCCCAAAATAATCTCAAAATCCAGTCGATCCATTAGAACACGAAAATACGAAAAAAAAGTATCTAGCGATGTGTACTACCCACTAACTTATCTACAAGATAAGATAAGATTCTTTTATTTATCAAAATAAATGGAAATATATTGTATCGCTTTGTACATATTCATTTTCAGTACATAAATAAATAGATCTACATATTTTAACTAAGACAACATTTTACGATTATAACAATTTAAAGACAAGAAATCTAAATTGCTTCTCTACCGTAAAATCAGCCATCAATGAACTCCCTTAGTGACACTATTCACTTAATCAGTGATCATTTAGATTTGGTAACCTCTGTGGGAGCACGCTGGTATATTTGTACAGATTGGGGAACAATCTCTCGGTCTTAACTTTAAGTGAAAGAATTTGCCTTGAAAGAGCTGATCTTAAGGTGTCTGTGATGAAGAGGGTGGGATGTGATTTCAGGTATCTGCGATGAAGAGGCTGGGGTGTGATCTTAGTTATCTTTGATGAAGTAGGTGGGATGTGATCTTAGATATATGTGATGAAGAGGGTGTGATGTGATCTTAGGTATTTGTGATGAAGTGGGGTGGGATGTGATCTTAAGTATATGAGATGAAGAGGGTGTGATGTGATCTTAGGTATCTGTGATGAAGTGGATGTGATATGATCTTAGGTATCTGTGATGAAGAGGGTGTGATGTGATCTTAGGTATCTGTGATGAAGTGGGTGGGATGGGATCTCAGGTATCTGTGTTGGTTATACAAAAATCATTTTTTCTTGAAATAGTTCTTCAAGTAAAGGATGTTTAGTTTATGTGATAATACTAGATCTCTTGATGAGTCTATTTGATCGGTGTTTGATGTCAGGCGATGAATACCTTACCAGTGGGGAATAATGAAGTTTAGCAGGCTTCCAACTGTTGCACTCTAGATTAAGTCAATAACATTTATTTTTAGAATGAAAACCTAAATAACGCTACTTTCCTTATCAGGTCATCCTAACCACACGATACTGACGGTGGCTCATCCTAACCACACGATACTGACAGTGGCTCATCCTAACCACACGGTACTGACAGTGGCTCGTCCTAACCACACGATACTGACAGTGGCTCATCCTAACCACACGGTACTGACAGTGGCTCATCCTAACCACACGGTACTGACAGTGGCTCATCCTAACCACACGGTACTGACAGTGGCTCATCGTGACCACACGCCTCACGAGGTGAACTCTCAAACTTTCGCCCATCAGCACGGCGAGTACAGCATTGCAAGCTATCAAATGGTATGAATGAGTGTTAAGTCTTATGTTATAAACCAGCTCTTTCCTTTCCAGAGAGGAACAAACTTCTCAGCTTCAGCAAAAAGCCTCAAACTTGCGAATGAACAAAAAACCATCACATGAGTCAAGTCAAAGTTAGTTACCATCACATGAGTCAAGTCAAAGTTATTTACCATCACATGAGTCAAGTCAAAGTTATTTACCATCACATGAGTCAAGTCAAAGTTATTTACCATCACATGAGTCAAGTCAAAGTTATTTACCATCACACGAGTCAAGTCAAAGTTAGTTACCATCACATGAGTCAAGTCAAAGTTATTTGGCATTGAATGAAAAATTTGAGATGACAGAACGCTAAGACAACAAGTAAGTATGTGTGGGCATTGGCTCCTGCAGGGATGTGTGTTACAAAGTCTGGTAAACTCATGGGCGTCACACCCCCCTCCACTTCTCCTTCCTCCAATGCCACCCATGTTGAATAGCAACCTGCTCTAATGTCAACCTAGTCCAGTGACAACCTGGTCAGGTGACAACCTGGTCAGGTGACAACCTGGTCAGGTGACAACCTGGTCAGGTGACAACCTGGCCAGGTGACAACCTTTTCAGGTGCCACCTTGATCTACATGCACCCTTCTCTTTATTTAGCTATCATCATCGGTAATAAAAACGTCCTGAGAAAACTCGGTTAACTTTGCCTTTTTTCCCTTGGTGGTGTCCCCCCCCCCCAACTGCTGCGATGATATCATTCGACATATTCTTAAACCCACGGCACCCCAGGTGAGAAAAAGCCGCTCAATCATGACCCTCGGTAATAAAAACGTCCTGAGAAAACTCGGTTAACTTTGCCTTTTTTCCCTTGGGGGGGTCCCCCCCCCCCCAACTGCTGCGATGATATCATTCGACATAGTCTTAAACCCACGGCACCCCAGGTGAGAAAAAGCCGCTCAATCATGACCCGCGCCTGGCGACACAATGGCCAGCTACGTAACGGATGCGATGAAAAACGCACCGTATGGCTACAGTGCCCCGTCCCTCCCCTTTTAATGCACCTTCTTATGTTGGCATCATGTTCTTGTATTTAATCACGATATGTTCAGGCACAGACGGGAGCTCACTAGAGCGAGTTCTGGTCAACAAGCAACATGTGTACTGCCTGTCACCCTCCCTAGAGACCATAACGTACGTGGGGAACTGCGGGCAGGTGGGTACTGAGGTGGGCACTGAGGTGGGTACTGAGGTGGGCACCGAGGTGGGCACTGAGCTGGGCACTGAGCTGGGCACTGAGGTGGACACTGAGGTGGGCACTGAGGTGGGTACTGAGGTAGGTACGCATGGTCTCAAAAATAGCATCGTGGCTTGAAAGTATCGATACATAAGCCTACGTATTATGTTGTTTTTTTATTTGTAGTACACGTCTATCTTACGTTCACAAAATGTCTTAATACCCATCCTGTAACAATTCGTCGTTATAGCGATTATGCGATTTTTAAAACCGATTTTCATCAGCGATTTCCGCTTAACTGTTGCTAGTGCTATTGCACTCAATAAAAGAACAAATTTCAGCATCTTTTGATAAAATCGGGAGTTTTTTTGTTTTTTTTTATCCCGTATTTTGAAAATGAGTTGTTGAACAACAATTTGAACGAAACCCACACACATATTTCTGAAACATAACGCGATTCTACTTTTCCTCCCAACTGCCTGGCACTAATACTCGGTGTTTTTGCCGACAGGTCAATTTCTGCCCGACACTAGTACTCTGTGTTTTTGCCGACAGGTCATTCTCTGTCCGGCACTAGTACTCTGTGTTTTTGCCGAGAGGTCATTCACTGCCCGGCACTAGTACTCTGTGTTTTTGTAAACAGGTCATTCACTGCCCGGCACTAGTGCTCTGTGTTTTTTCCGACAGGTCATTCACTGCCCGGCACTAGTGCTCTGTGTTATGGCTGACAGGTCATTCTCTGCCCGACACTAGTACTCTGTGATTTTGCCAACAGGTCATTCACTGCCCGACACTAGTACTCTGTGTTTTTGTAAACAGGTCATTCTCTGCCCGGCACTAGTGCTCTGTGTTTTTGCCAACAGGTCATTCACTGCCCGACACTAGTACTCTGTGTTTTTGCCGACAGGTCATTCACTGCCCGGAACTAGTACTCTGTGTTTTTGCCAACAGGTCATTCACTGCCCGGCACTAGTGTTCTGTGTTATGGCCGACAGGTCATTCACTGCCCGGCACTAGTGCTCTGTGGTATGGCCGACAGGTCATTCACTGCCCGGCACTAGTACTCTGTGATTTTGCCGACAGGTCATTCACTGCCCGGCACTAGTACTCTGTGGTATGGAC